AAAGCCACTGTCACCTTCCAGGACAGGTGTCACCCCAAGGACATGGACGTGCCGAGCACAGGTGAACTTTCCTGCTCTGCCTGTTGCTGCCTGGAGCATTCCCCCCCCCCCCCCCAGGTCACATGTGCATGGTCACAACTCCACCACAAAGCCTGGGCAGGTCACACTGGAGGAGCCCAGTGGGCTGAGCCTGGGAATTCTTCCCTTTAAAAGGTAGGAGCTTTGCCTACAACAGCAGGGCTCCACAGCTTCCTCAGGGAAGTTTTCCCTGGAATAAGTGATTCCCCCTCAATTGAGTACTGGGTGTTAAGAAACAGGCTTTTTCCAACTTGTTTCTGGGCATGGGCAAGGGGATGACTAAGGGACAGCAACAAGCTTGTCTGCAGGATTCACTCACAGCTGTCCAACTCCTGGTGATGAGGTCTCCCAAGGTGAGTAGAGTTGCAGCATATCACCCCATCACACTTCCCAGAGCTCAGCAAGCCACAGCAGAGACAGCTTTTGACTCCCACACCTCATATGAGGCCTCTCAGAGCAAAGGGGCAACTTCAGGTGGCACCATAGTCACTTTGTCTTGACAACCAAGTGGCATCCCCAGCTCACACAGAAGGCCAGGACCCAACACCAAGGGCAGTAAAAAACAGCCCCTCTGCCCATCACTGCTGAGATATCCCATCAACTTACCTCCCTCCTTTCCTGCCCCAGCAAAACACCAGCTGTGCCTGGATCCCAGAGAAGGGAGGCAACAAACCCCTTTTTTGCCTTGAGATTGTTTTTAAGGGCAAAAGATGCAATACTCATATCCAGGTGGTAAAGCAGCCAGTGGTGCCACCTTCCCCAGCTCTCCTCTGCCCAATTCCAACACCACAGCGGAATGAAAAGGAAGCATATTATGAAGCTTGAACGCTGCAGCTGGGAATAGCTTTAGTATTCAGAGGGTTTTCTGGGCTCTCCAAGTTCTAGCCCCAGGCCTGGCCTTACCTTGGTAGGAGCCCAGGCACACAGAAAGGATCAGCACCCAGCCACTCCATTTGCTCTCCATGCCGTTCCTAAGATAGTCCTCAGTGGCTGGTTCCTCTCCTGTGCTGCTCCCAGACTGAGGAATCTTGGATGGGCTGGGAGAAGCAGTAAGAATCCACACCTACGCAGGGCAATTACCACACCCCTCCCTTTACACCTTGATTATAAAATCACCAGCCTACAAAGGGAGGGAGGGACCAGAGCCAGGCAGGTATTCCTGAGAGGTCAAAAGCAGCCCAGAACTTGCTCCTCAGTGCTAACTTGGCTGTACAGGGTGGGCATGGACTGGGACCACTACAGCCATGTGAGAGCATCACACTCCCTGCATTTCAGACATTTTATTCAGAATAAAGGAACAAGGTCAAAAGGAAAGCTACAGTAGATAAAAGTCAGCAAGGAAGGCCAATATCAAGCAAGAAGGCTTTCCAGCCTGTGCAAGGCAGCAATTGCAACATGGGCTGTTGCCTCACACCAGGCATTGTGTTTGTCCAGGGAAGAGTGTAGCAGCAATCCCAGGCAAGCCTCTTCCACCTGCAACCAGGCTCAGCAGAAGAAAGGCTTGATGGGACATGCACCTCACAAGGCAATGGCAGCTTAATGAGAACCCGAATCCATTCAGTCCCAAATTCCCAGTGACAACCTTGGGATGTGCCTTCTCCTGGCTCTGCAGCCATGTGGAAGCTGAACGAGAACCTTTGGCAACCAGCACATGACCATGAAATGAAACACTCAAACTCCCCAGTTTACAGAAGTTTTTATTGTTCATTAAGGAAGCTTTTGTGCCAAAAAAATAATAAAAAAAAATATCAAGACAATGTTCTTTAGAAAGCATGTGTCCCCCCAGCATGACTCAAGCAGGTCAGGTGCCACACCCCACAGGAAGGGAGAAAACTAAAGGGACTTCCAGTGCAGCACAGGATTTCCCCTGGCTCACCTCACCTAACAGGTCACCGGCATGAATCCTTCAACTACTAGAAAACCCAGAGAGATAAAACCTTCCCAACCTGTCAGGTTGGCAATGCAGACCCACCTCCCCCTCAAAAATCCACATTACGAGAACACCATCCAGTTTAAAACACCAAATACCATCCTACATGCCACGGTGTAACACAACCCGTCCCCCCAGGGCGGTGATGCCAAGGGAAGAGAGCCCATTGTCTATCTCCTGGATCTACCCCAGCTGGGATACACCACCAGAACCACTGCACAGGCCTGCCAAGACAGAAAGCTGCAGGTATTTCATATCTTTAGGGGAAATGATTTTCCTTTCTCTTTTTTAAAAGCCATGAATGCTTCAGTGCAAACACGAGAGACAAGCCACTATTGCCACCTGCCAGCACTGCCCACACCTTCAGTATGTACACAGAGGAACCAAAAACCTGCAGTCAAGTGGTTTTTCTACAAACTGCATGAAAAATTCTTTGTTTGCCTGTTATTGTTGCTACTGGAGCTCCTACTCACCCTAGAAACAGGACGAGTTACCAGCATGTCTCAGAACAGGACTGAATTTTCAAAGCTCCGCATCTGCTCAGCTGCTCCTTCACACTGGTCTCCTTGGAGCTTCCTTGGTGCCTCTGTTTCAGGGGTTGATTTGATCAGTGTTTTCAGGACTAACTTGATCAGAACTACACACCGAATGCAAGGTCCATCTCAAGCAATAGGAGCAGGATTTTCCCTCCCAAGGACCTTTCACATCAAGGGCCTGACGTTCCTAGGGTAGCAGCCTGCCTTGAAGCGTTTTTCTTGGGGGGACTTCAGGCCTTTTCAGTGAAATTCTAGAGAGGCCTGAAGGACACAGGCTGTCAGGTGTGCCAGCAGAGCTCCAACTACCTACTACAGTTGCTCCTACCATCTACCATCTCTGCTTGCTGCATTTCCCAACAGAAATGGGAACTCTGGAAAAAACGTATACTTCAAGCTACTCAGCAGGGTGTCACTGAGAATGGGTGGCAGGAAAAACTGCCCCTGAGCCTCATGGCACCTCTGAAGTTCCAAGATCACAGAAATATGCTATGAGATTAAAAAACATCAAGGAACAAAGGGGCAGTTGACAAATAAATCCCGTTTTTCCACACATTCTGCCCTCGATCCTAAACTCTCTTTGACATAGATACAGCTCCCGCTGACTTGTTCCTCCTCCATCTTCCAGCAATCTGGCTCACTCCACCTCCTCAGCACCCAGCTGGCTGCACACGGGAAGCTGCAAGACTAAGCAGAATTGAGCAACTAGGATAGGAAAAAAAAAAAAAAAAGTCATGCCTTAAGTAGTCAGCATGCTTCAAAAGACTGACATCCCACTGGGCAGGGCTTGACAGCAGAACACCCATGCTTAGACCAAGTAGTCCAGGGATCACAGGCTGAGGGAGGGTTTTCTTTAGCTATGATAACAGGACAAGTGTGGTCACTCCAATGCAAAAGTGTGAGCACTCAAATGCATCTTTTTAGGTACAGTGATTTTGAAAGTTAGCTGGGCACACAAAGCTCCCTCTCCTCTGCATCTGCAGAGCTTTGAAAATTCCAGCCAAGGGGACTCCCAGCATCAAGATTATCCCTTCCACAGAAAATTAACATTCCAGCCAGATGTTAAAAATGCAAAGCATGTGAAGTCTTCCCAATGCTGACCACAGAAAGACACTTGAAGGTTTAGTTGCTATCTTGTTCTTTTTTTAAATTAAAAGATAAGAGCCTTGCCTCATCTCACCTTCCCTGTCAATTCTTCCCAGCACCTAAAATCACTTCAGCCTACCAATTAAAAAAAATAAATCTACAACACACTGACTATTTTTAGGAGCATAACGAGTTAAACTGTACAATCAGAAATATCTTTGTTAAGTCAACGATGAAGATCTGATCCTTCAACAGCAGCACTGCTACAGAAGAGTTACAATAAAGGAACTTGAAGGTCAAATTGTTAATGAGGCAGAGAGGAGGGACAGGTGAGATACAGCTCTCTGCCAACCTCGGCCCACGTGTTTTAGGAGCCATGGCAAACTTTCAGAACTGGAAATTCCTCCTCTAGTTCCACACATGACGTTTGCAGTGATCCACAGCCTAAAGGGAAAGAAACAGGAGATGTTAGTGGGAAAAAACCCTGTTTGCAAGCAAGTGTGCACCTACACAATTCAACACCTTATCCTGAGCCAAGATACTGGAAGCAAATCTGTTTTTCTTAAAATAAGTGATTACAAAGGGGAGTAGAATAAGTAAAATCCTTGTCCCCACCCAGAATCTTCAGGAAAGAAGGTTGATGACCCTTGATCACTAAGGTCTGGCAGAGTAAGCAATACTTGAAATCCAATTTTTAGGGCCTGATGGGAGATCATGATGTGGTCTGTTGGCTGCAGGAACACTGACTAAATATAAAGCTCACACTGTACCATACTACAGATCCTGAAATACTAGCAGACAGGTGGGGAATAGGAACAAATCAGAGAGGAAAGTCGGCTTTGAGAAAGCCAAGGGCAATGAAAGACCCTCTAATCAAGCTAGTACCCTTTTGCTTTTTTGAACTGGAATTCATCCACTTCCAAGCGTGATAGAAGCTAAAAGGGGCTCATAGGGAGCTATCAAAGATCAACAGGGAACTTGAGGCAGAATTCCTGCTTCACGTACATTGCACTGAGCAGCAGTCTCCATGTTCTTACACCAGTAACCTGGACCCCAGACACAGGCATCAGCCCCCAGGAGGGGCTGTTTAGCTGATCCACAGACTCCAAGTTTCTGTGAAAAGAACAGCAGTACAGTCAGCATCTTTCTAACTGCACCAAGAGATCTTAACTCCAGTCTTACATCTTGGAGTTTCCACCTGACTGAGGGTGGAAGCAACACTGAGGCAGCTGCAGGAGCTCTGAGTTCACACCTGCAGCTGAACGAGCAGCCATGAAGCTGTAACCTGACACAGGGAAGAATTAAGTTACTGTAACCCCTTCATATCAAGTTTCGCAAAACAAACCTTCCTCTAGAGAAGGACCTTTCTCAAGAAAGGTCACTTAACCTCCCACCCCATTCAGGGCACACAACACACTGTCACTGAACTCAACAGCAGGTAACCACTGGTAGCCCTTTCCTTCTGTCCTTAGTTGTACTTGGCTGGCAGGCAGACAGCTGTCCACTCAGTAAGCCCCAGGCCTTACACAACCATGCTTGCTCCAAGCACTCAGCATGCTGATTCCTATTCCAGCCCAATTCCTGCATGCTGGGCACTGACAGGCTCACAGGAGAGCAGGCAGGACTGTGTCAGAGTCTGCACTCAGTAAAACCAAACACAATACTCACAGTGCAAACAAAAGTGGGATCCATCACCTCTGCCAAGAGTTGCACAACCACAGGTTCATACTGTTCCACAAACTGAACACACTGTAACAAAACACATGTTGAGAGATTCTCCTGTAAGAGCCTTTGAAAGAGGAGGAGTATGTGGCCTGCAGCAGGCAGGCCTGTATACTACCCAAAACACCAAACCAACACACTCCAAAGGGATAAAGCAGAGGCTTGAGCTCTGCAGACAGAAAAGGACTCAGCATCACACTAATCACACAACTACATGATTATTTTTCTAGCTCACACCTGCCTGCAGCTGTCTGCAGACAGCCTGTGAGGAGAAAGGGGTCAAAAGGAAAAGAATCAAACAGGACAGACTTTGGGAAAAGAACCAATGAGGATAAGCTTTGATTGCAAAGCTTAGTCCCCGATCAGGAAGATCACTGCTGTCTCAAGGGGAAAGCACACAGAACCAGCTGGAGACAAACATCCTGAGCAGCACAGCAGTAATGACTCCTAAGCACTTTTAGCCTGAATAGTCCCTATTCACAGCAAACCAGGCAGCACCAGGAGCACTTCCGATGGCGAACAGCCTCTCTCCCTCTAGCGGAGGAGCTGCCTCCAGAGCACAGGAAGATGCTGCTGCTCTCAGCAGAGGCTAACAGCACTGATTATTAAACAGCCTCACAGCAGAAAGAGCTGCTCCACACCTGCTTTAAGCCTGTATATTCTCTCTCTAGTAAACGTACAAGTAGTTGCCATTTGCTGACACCCAGCAGCCACCTAGCAAGATTTCCACATAAATCTTGATAGCAGGTGTCTAACAGGTGCCTCCCTGGAATTCTACCAGCCTACTTCCAATTACTTCATTAATCCTCTGAACAGGATCAGTGTTCAGGGGGAAAAAAATAATCTAACCTTTAGCTGTTCCCACCCACTGTTCTCAGAGGACTTCCAGGCAAACCTTTCCTGACTGCAAATTAGTACAACAATCCAGCCAGTCAATTCAGGCCTTCAAAAACCTCCATCTAGTCAAAAGACTGCCAACCCCCAAGGAAGGAGAGTGAGAAAACCTAATCCTCCTGCACCTCACACTCCTCCCTGACTACTGCTATAAAAACCAGCACGAAATGCTGCTCTCTAGTTTACCCAAATACCCTGCAAGATGTCCCTGCCTATGACAGAGGGGTGGGAACTAGATGATCTTTAAGGTCCCTTCCAACCCAGACTATTCCAGGATTCTGCGTTTCATTCTTCTGTTCATCTCTCTCTGCCTCGACTGGAAGGCAGGCTGACACAGCAAGGTCTGAAAGGTCACTCCGCTGCCTCAGATCAAGCCTGTTCCCTCTTTTTTTTTTCCCCCCCTCTACTGCACTTGAGAAGGGGCTATGCTTTGGTGCTCATTAATAAAGGGAAAAACCTGGGAAGGATCAGGTTGCAGGACACAAGCCAGTCCCAGCTGCACCTGTGGACAGTTTGTCTCCAGCCAGACACAAGGCATTTGGCCAAACACAGACTTCTGTTAGGAGTACCTGGACATTTATAGCAGAAGCAGAGACACTTGAGACATGGACCTAAAATTAGCATGTAGACAGAATATCAGGTGAAACACTCAGAAAATGAGCTAAGCATAATTGTCACTGTAGGACCTATGTAAACCCGACAGATCAACAAGGATGGTTCCCAACCAAGGATGGCCCAACAAGGCCATGGCTTTTTAGCCTGACTCCTGCACAAACACCTTACCTGCTCACTGACAGACTCTGGCAGGAAGTGACAAACTTTTTCCAGTAAAGCTTCAATTTCAGCTGTCGTGGCATTCTTCTCTAGCTCTTTGTCTGCGTAAGCTACCACCATCTTGCAGATATCACAGAAGCCATCTGCAGGTTTCACTGCAACTGAGGACGAAAACAAAAAACCAAACCATCAGTGCTTAGGCAGCTCCCCCAGACAAAAGAAAGGAGGCAGCATCAGCAAAGTGTCCTCAAAAGCGATGTCAGCATAGGTGAACCAGCTCATTCTGAACAGCACTGACGACTCCTTACCCACCTGGCTGCTGAGGAAGCTTCTTGGCTTCACAGCATTTCAGCATAACACACACAGCTTCAGGATTTGTTGCCTCCAAGAGCATGTCAATCAAAGCCTGGCCATAGACATCTATGAAGTCCTTACACTGGTCTTTGACACTTCCTGGGAACAGGTGGCAGATCACCTCCATTTCATGCACAATCTCCTCCTGAAACACAATGAAGGATAGTGGCAAATGAGGGACAGAAATTGGACTTAATTCTTTTCTTACTGTCCTACCCAGCGTGGAAGTCTTGCTCTTGTGAAAGCAAGCAATAAAAATTAACCCTCCTTCCCCCTCCAATACATCGCCATTTTAGACAAAGCCTAGGAACAGGTACCATGCCCACCACTTACACACCTCTGTCTTGTTGCTCTCCAAGAGGCCAGTCACTTCTTTCACCATGGTCTCGCATATTTCACATAAGGAAAAGCTTTTCTCTTGAACTGAGGCCTTCTGAGCACAGAAGAAATATACAAATGACAAATCAGCACTGGACCACATATGACACAGACAATTCCTCACAGATCAATCTAACAGCATTCAGGTACAGCACACTCCTTTACCTAGCTCTCTAAAGGTCACGCAGAGCCCAAACCCAACCTCAAAGTTCTCAGTAAAAAGCCTTTCTGAATGAAACAGGCATTTTGTATCACTAACTAAGACTACAATACCCAGGCTCCATAAGGAGGGGAGTTGCATTTAGTAGACATGGAAAAATAAGCAATCCCATAGTGATGAAAGTTATGGAAAATACAGAGGTTTTTAAAATGTATCAATTGAGGACAAAATTTCCTAGAATTGAGCACCCTCCTGTTTGCAAAGGAAACCTAGAAATGGAGGGACTTGAGGAGAAATTGTTTGGAGCCTGTTCACCAGAAGTCAACTGTACTCCAAAAACTCCTGAGTCCATGCCTCACCCAAAGGCCATGGGAAGCTGAGGGGCTTCTCCAAACTCAAAGAGGTTCGGCATTCTGATCACTCACCTCCACATGCAGAGTGCTGCCCCCTTTTCAGAAGGGCTAAGCATTAAGTCCAAACATAGAGCAAAACCCAAATTCAGCAGTTTGCCCTCTAACATCTTCCGTGTCATTCAGAATGGCTGCTCTACTCTACTGCTGGAACAAGAGTTTCCATTTCAATCCTCAACTACTACTTTGTTAGCTTCAGTTCAGTATAGGCTCTGCTATTCCAACAAATCACTCAGCTCTCCCACTTCACTGATCAGCATCAAGAAACAAGAGGAAGCAGGAATTTAAAATGCAGAGAGACTTGGATTATTCTGTGCATAAAAGCTCGTATCTTTGTTTCAACTTGTTCGTTACACTAAAACAGAAAGGCAAGCAAAGCTGATGAGTACAGAAAGTCCATCTTACCTCCACAGTTTCCATTTTCACCTCATGAACCACTTGAGCTGGCAGCAGAGGCTGTAGAGGAACAGATTTCACAGAAGAACAGAACCCAACCATGGCACAAATGTCCTTTGGTTGCTGGAAAGAGATGTATAACCAGTTTTTACACATCTAGAAGACTTTGCCCTTTCTACAGAGCCTGTGAGCAGGCACAAAGTTTTAGAAGGCTCCAACACAACTACAGATTTCATGACTACTGCTACTTCAATGCCAAAGCATTTGACATGGTTATAGGCAGGACAGCTACTGGATGAATTTTAAAGAACAAAAGGTTAAAAACCCCATTAAAAAACCCCCATTTACCATGAGCCACACTGTGCAAGCCCTTCAAAGGAATTGACTTAAGAGCTACCAACACCAAAACAGGCCACCAGCATCACAAAAGACCTGAGTCCACAAAGCTGCTCCCCAGCTTTAAGGAACCAGAGAAGAGGCCAATTATCCTGGCTTCCAAGTTCACCCAAAAGCTGAAAGAAATGCCTAGAAGAAAGGTGTTCTTTCCTCATCCACAAACTACCTTCTTTAAAGCTGTCAGTAACATCAGATTCTGCAAACAAAAACAGGTTCTTGCATTACTGAACACAGCCTACAACAAACAAAATCAAGCCTGTTAAAACCTAAGCCTAAGCATCTTTACTGCAGTAACTGTATTCCCAGCATTCTCTTCACAGTAAGAGAAAACAGAAACAAAGTCTTTAAGAAGGCTTTCTAAGTCTTTCTCAAAGGTTTTGGAAACATACATTAGTAAATGCAAAAATAAATGCCAGACAGGAGGCAAACTGCTCTAAGGAGGCCACATGACACCCGAAGTGAGAAAGGCTGTACAGAGTGACACAAAACTTGAGTTTTCCCAGCTAAAGTCTACTTAAGCTAAGGAAAAAGTGACCCTTGATCCTAGAGGTAATTGGAAGATCATATCCCAATCCTGTCACCACCATATGAAGCTTCTGAGGCTACAGTTAATATATCATGCCACAACTTCATGCACAGGCAAAAGCAGCATCTCAAAGATACAGTGCTGCTTCAGACCACTCCAGACAGCACCTGTAAGTCAAGCCCTTTGGTTCATGCACTGTAAGAAGCAATTTCAGGTATTAATGTTAGAGCAACACCCACATACACACCACATGTTCTCTCACAGAGAGATGACAGACACAAGGTCTCAGAGGACTGGTTAAATTAACAGCCCGAATTGCTCCAGAAAGCAGGAGCCTAAAGGCCTCCTACATCTTTTCCGTTCATGTACTTCAAACATCTATTTCATTGTCCTAGATTTAAAGGTTTACTAAGAAAAGGCCTGGGAACAGCTTCACTCAAGCACTTTTGACCCCATACTTTAACCAGCTGCTGACAGGAGCCACTGGTATGCTTTTCCCACATCTATCCTCCCTCCAAGAGGGAGCATGCTTTCTGCTCAACTGGCCAAAGCATAATCAAGCTGAAATCTCAGCAGCACAAACTGGTATCTGGAGCTGGAAGCAGGACTGATCCACTGGAGGAAGCCTATGGTCTTTCTCTGTTTTAATCACATAAATATCCCTTGTATCTGTCAACACTGAGTACAATCACACCATGTACACAGCTAATAGAGCAAGAAGTGAACTACAAGCCCTTTAGGAGAAAAAGGTGAACTACAAGCAGGCTATCATCACAGCAAGTTGCTCACCTACCTGATCCTTCTGTTGACAGGGGAGATTGGAGACAGAGAAAGAAAGGAGAAATTAAAGATAAGAGAAAAAACACATCAAGCACTTGGAACTGCATATACTCTCTCCATGAAGATAAGGGAATATGACACGGTCCCCACCCCAAAGATTCTTAGCATTGCTACAGCAACTCACATCTAGTTGCAGTGCTAACCAGTATTATTCATTTGCAGTTATTAAAGCATCCTGGGCAAGACTACCTCCAAAGAGTCTGGACAACACTCAGCCAGATGCAAGGTGTGGTCATATTCCAATGTCAGATACTAACAACACACTGCCTTGCAATGCTTAAAATGAGAAATTCAGTGCTGTTGGAACAAAGACCGACTTCCCCTCAAAATGCTTAAGAAACTGGATGAACTTCTAACCAACCTTTTGCAACCAGAAACAAAGAGTCAAATTCAGGTTCAAGTCAGCTTACATATTCTACTCAGAAATTCACCTATAATTTGTTATGATACTCGTGGTGTCTGGGGACTGCATCCCTATGGAAAGGCTTACCCTTCCATTTTTTTAAGGCTTTGAGACCTCTGGATAAAGAGGTGCTGTGGAGGTGGTCAGAGGTTAATATATCATATGGGGCTGCTGAGGAGCAGAGCTGCTGCAGTGCCACCCACTTTCCATGGCTCCTATCAAGAGCCCAGAGAGCAGGAGTCTCAAAGATAACATCCTTCTTCTGGAGCTGCTAAGTCTTGCTTCAGAAAGGCACATTAACACTTGAACCAAGTCTGCAATACTGACAAAGACCAACTCCAATATACTTAACACAGTGTTTGGAGAGGATGGGGGAGGTTTAAGTACAGGACTGAAATAAGAGTATAAAGGAATATACGTAATGTATCTTGCACATTTCAAAGGGTAAGAGTGCCTTGTCCACTGCTGAAGCAGTTGTGAAACAAAAGGAAAGTGCTAAAGAAAACATTCAGAGACTGAAATTACTATCCAATTAAACACCAAGCTCAAAGAGTTAACATCAAGATTTACAGAGCAAGGGCTGTGACTAGAATTTTACTGGGGTACATGTTTCCTGCTTCCAAAGAAGTTAGGTATATGAATCAGAAAAATGAACTGAGAGCAAATATTATAGTCTGCTGATCTTACCATGTGCATCATCATCTGGATAGCCAAGTCAGAGTACTCAGAGATATAGCTCTTGCACTGAAGGAAGTGGGAAAAGAAAAAGCCTTGTGAATATCAAACTACTTTAGACTTCATCTAAAATTTTCTAATACATCAAGGTGTTAATTTACCTCTACTTAATAACTATTCTGGTGTCTTTCAGAGGTTGTTCCAAATACAAGATGGCATTTCGGGTTACACAATCACCGCATGGATAACTGCTTATCTGAGTGTCCTTTCCTCTTCCTCTCAGGGCAAAGCCCTCTCCCTCCCCTCATTGATACAACCACATTACCCTGCCAGACCATTTTTACGAAAAAGGCCTTGAAGGGCTAGCAGCAATCTGGAGTATTTCTCCTCCTCCTCAGTCCCAGCTTTCCCCACCCAACTTTCTTTACCATAAAGTTTCCAGTTTCAGTATTGTTATACTGTGTAACATATGCTACGTGCAATACACTCTCCTTTGTGCTATTAAATAGAGAATACAACGGGGGGATTAAGGCACTGAACAAACTATTTTATGTTTGCATACAGAACAGATTTTTTCAACAAAAAAGACAGCTCACCATATCGGACATTCCGGGCCCCAAACGGTCACACTCCTCCTTGGCATGAGCAACCAAAGACTTCACAAAAGATGAGTTTGTCTTCACAGCTTCCTGAACATCAGTGACCAGCTTAATGCAGTCCTGGCACACATCCCCAGTTGCCTGGACAAAGTAAAAGGAAACTGAAATTAATACAACTTCACATAACATGTTTTAGAAGCTTCCATTACTATCAAGCTTTACAAGCTATTTTGAGCTACATACAAACCTTAGTAAATACTCTGTAGAGTACTTTAATACCATATAATATGAAGAAAGAAGCTACTGCTGTGATATGCACCAGCCACTAGATGGAGATTAGGTACCTAACTTGGCTCCAAAACCAAGATAACAGTTAAGATACCCAATCTTCGACATATCTCGGTTTAGTTACAGACCACAGGGGGAAGGTGTCTAAATGTGGCATAGATCTTACGTGCTCCACCCACAGCAGTTTGTTCTCCACCCACTCACTGCTTAACGCCCACACCCTGGCTTGCCCTCACCACTCAGCCCCTGCTCCCAAGATCATTGTCTTATCCACTCCCCTTCAACTATTTGTTCTTCTCCCAGTTTGTCACCTCTACATTTAGAGACAAATGCTTCCCCGGGGGGGCACAGCTGGCAGGTTACTCAAAATGTGGGAAGAGCAGATCTTCCTCTGAACACTGGTGCTAAACTTTCTCTAAGAACAAACTGTTTCCAGTAAGACCTGCTTGATTACCAGTCCTGGATGGGAACAGCCCCACACAAGACTTGTCTTTACAGACTGCAGAGGTTAATCCAAGATTATACATACAGTCCACAGGGGCTGCAGTTATCTTACTTAGCTTTATACCCATAGGTTAAGGAAAAAAGGTAATTACCTGTACACATTAACACAGAATTCAGCAAGAGATAGTGACCTGGGTGGAGCACATCAGCTTAATCTTTGCCCAGGACAACAATCCCTTAAGCAAGAATCATCAGTAAGTTTGTCCAGACAAGAGCACTGAAGTTCCTGTGCACTTCCCTTGCACACTGGGACAGCCCTGCACCCTTACCTTAGGCTTCTGCTTGGGTTTGTCCTGAGGGTAAAGGAGAAGAGGTACATTAGCCATGAATGGAGATGCCAGTTCAGAGAAATCCATCTCTGGGATCTTGTTGGTCTGGAGCTGTTTCTGAAGCTTCACTGCTGCAAGGTGCTTCTGGAGGGACTGGCACAGTGCCAGGGCACTGCACACCACCTCAGGTTTATCCTAGAGGACACAAAGGCACACACATAAAGCTCCAAACTGAGGTCAAATTTCAGAGTAGAAAGTCATTCAGCTGAAATGTGAAAGACAGGGAAAATTTCACCACAAGGAAGCAGTTCTCAAACTTACACTAGAAATTACAACACCAGTGACCCACACAGGACTAAAGAATCATATGCACAATCTCAGGTGGAAGAGAAATTCAGGCATCAACAGGAGCATGACTTATCACTCCAATGGTTGAAAATTGTTATCTACTCACTAGCTCTTCTTTGATCATATCCATGATAACTGGCAGGTAGGAATCCACAATCTCTTTGCACTCTGAGACCAGGCCTGGGTCAGGAAGGAACTCGCATGTCTTTTCCAAGTAAGAGCGGATTTCTTCCTATGAAAGATGAGGTGCGCATAGATTATTTCTCTCTTTCCATATTATGTATATACACACACACACATATATATATACACACATATATTTATGTATCTCAAATGCTCTTTGCATTTCCAAAATGCACCATACACAGGCCAGAACAAGCTCCTTGGACCTACTCAGGTAGGTCCAGTCAGTGGCAAGCAAAACTAGAATGAGGTTTTACACTTTAGGCCTATTTCCCCCAGTCCTGGACCTTCAGTGTGACCCTGACAAGAAGACATGCAATACTGCTTGCAAGGCCTGTGCAACACAACCTTGCCAGAACAGAACATTTACACTTAAGAGGAGGAAGTGAAATTATGGACTAGTGGGACAGTGAACTGTTCATACCAAGTACTCACAGGTTCACAAGAAAAAGGGAACAAGTACCAATGAAACAAAATAAAGCCAACTTGTGTAATCAACCACTTCTAGAGACTGCAGTACTCCACCTTTTAAGACTGATGGCCCATTGGCAGAACAAGAATTTTATTAAGCATCTACAGTCAATCAGGGATGTGTTAATCCATGAGAGGCTCTAGAATCTAGCTAATTTCTAAACCAACAGAAGCTGTTTAAATCTTTCCCCATGTACTCCAGTCTCTGTCAGCACTTGCAGCTTATATTAGGAAAATGACACAGACTACTCTTCCAGCCCTCACCATGAGATCTTGTTAAGTCCATGAAATTAAGTAGCATTTTGGGGTGAAGAGAAAGGAAGCTCTGCTTACCTCAGTGCCATTATCCTTCAAAACCTTGCCAGCCACCGTCACAAGCTCCTTACACAAGTCACATGGGATACTGCTCTGGAGAGAGAAGCAGAGAGTTGCTCTGAGACAGAATTAGGTACCTGTACGACTAGTGTATGATTAACAATACAAAGAGCAAGCACTTCATTAGGAACTGAAGTTAAGGAAGAAATACTGGCTGAGGCTTGGGTGGGAAGAGGTGTTTTTAAACCAAGAGTGAGGCTAGTTCAAGCACGTCCAGCTCCAGTTTCTGCAGTAAATCAACATGGCATGAAGAAGCTGGCACGCTACCACTTGCTCGTTTCACCTATCCCAGTCCCTTGAAGTATAAAGTGTGCTACTTTGCCCTGAACTGAACATCTCAGCACAGACATAGCCAAGGTGTAGTGAATGCACCTGGAAGTAAAATGCCTTTTTCCCCCCTAGAAAATTGTGAAACACCACCCCAAACTACAGCTACAGCCAATAAAGCAGCCCTCACATTTAGGACAAATGCAGCTTGGAAAGACACACTAAATTAATATGCTTCCATCTTTTGTGGCACATTAACTTTGGAGACAGACCTAAAGAAGCACCCAGCTATATCTGTAATAACCCTATGGATTACGAGTCAGTAATAAAGAGGAACTAGTGAAATCCACCAGCTCCATTCCATACATTGCTCAGTGATTGTGCAACAGGTCACAGGAGAAGTCAGCAGACAAGTTGTGCAAGGCAGAGCAGTGAAAAGCAACCTTTATCTAGCACCCAAATTAAGGCACAGCAACCAAGGCAGAATCAGATGCAGCACTTAAGTCCCATCAGAGACTTAATGACTTACTGAGGCATCATCAGCATATGGAAACCAGCCACCTCAACCACAGGTGGGACAAGGTCTCAGTAGCTGATACTTACTACAGCAGGCTTGCTCCAGACATTCTGCTGGCAGTGCTTCAGTGCCCCACACTGCGAGGCCGTCCGGATGTTCTGACACCACACCTCCGGGCCCTTCACACACTCCTTCTGCCACACAACAGGGCTTGCCACAGCTGCCAACAAGAAAAAGATTCCTTCTTTCACAGCTGCACACCTGAATGATCTGGATGGGTTAACACTGTACAGTATAACCACCACCTCTCCAGTGCACCACTTTGGTTTTTTAACATTCTAAAGCACATTTCCATCTAGCAATTTTTGAGTTGAAACTTGAGTCCCAAATACAGATTGCATAGCCAAAGGAAAACAAAAAACCAACCAGAAATTGAGTTGAACTTCCTTCATGAAGTGCCTGAATCTAAGCACCTCAGCAGTCCATTCCCCCATAACCCACCTGTTGTAAAAAAATTAAAACAAAAACCAAGCCCACACTTTGCTTAATACACAAGAAGGAAGTGAAACAGAAAAACTGCTCATTGCAGAAATCTAGCTTTAGACAGCTGATTCCCAAAGCACAACCTCCCTATTCTTCTGTCCTGCTGTCACTTCAACTCTGAACTAAGCACCTCAGCAGTCCATTCCCCCATAACCCACCTGTTGTAAAAAAATTAAAACAAAAACCAAGCCCACACTTTGCTTAATACACAAGAAGGAAGTGAAACAGAAAAACTGCTCATTGCAGAAATCTAGCTTTAGACAGCTGATTCCCAAAGCACAACCTCCCTATTCTTCTGTCCTGCTGTCACTTCAACTCTGAACCAGCTTTTAAGTCTGCATTCCTTTTCCTGCTCCCATGTGACCCACCCTGTTCTCACCCAGCAGCTCAGACAAGGAGGACACTAACTGGATTAGAAGCGAAAACAAGGTATATACTACATGAAGGATCTAAGAGCAAGTACAGACCAAAACACTGATCATAAACAGTTAGTTTTAAGAAGCAATCTGAGGAATATTCTACCAAAGTTTTTAAACCCACTAAGTCTATTTGGATTTCTTTTTCTCTTGGTCTTCACTGTACAGAAAAATCTGTGGGGGTAAAAATGTCCTTGTCTGGACATGACCTCCCATCTCACATAAAATTGCCTTGCAGCCTATTAAGTTTTCAAGTAAAATATAGAATACCATTTCCAGACAGTCTTTCTAAAGAAACATAAAAGATTTGCAGTATGAGTAAGTAATAGGACTAGTTAATCAGCTGCACCCATTAGCTGACTTTCCAAGCTTCTTTTTTTGTGCTGTCTGGACTGGACATCCAACTTCTCCCAGTTTCTCCCTATTCTATCTGGTGGTAGGCTCAGTTCCTTCAGCAGTCAATGACCTACACTGCACTAAACCTAAAATAAACAGGCTCCAAGAATATCTGCCATAGTCTAGGCTTACAGGGCACTGCTGACAAAGTTTATAATAATAAGAAAAGCAAAACCACAGACCTAACCTGTTCAAACCCATTAGCTGTATAGGTATTACATTTACATCAATGCTGTTTGCACACCACAAAATCCTATAAAATTAGTCAACCAGGACACAGGAATTAAGCTGTTTAATGCCTATGAAGCTCCTAGCGAGGTTATGACAGCTGAACAACCGCTTTGCAATTTCTCATGCCTTGTTCTAAGCAATCAGAGGATCAGTTTAAGGGCTGAATTGTCAGTGCATTTCCTAGGAACACAGGCAGCACACAAACAGTCAAACTCTGCTTCATCCTGCAGCCTTCTCAGCCGTGGATTCAGAGAGCCTGTCTACACTGCATTTCAGAGAAGCAACCCACTTATTTTATGAAAAACGTGCTCTGCACACTTGATTTTTTTTCCACAATAGCTTGAAGCTTGCTTCCCTCTCTCCCAGCACAAAGCCCAGACTGCATATTACTCCTTAGCAAGACAGCACACTAGGACTGCTTGTAAGACTGCAGGAATAAGACTTCAAAGCTTCAAATAACATATGGTTAGCAAAACATTTACAGCCTGTTCCAAATTCCAGCATTATTGATCTGGAAGCACTAAGAATAGTTAATTTTTCAAAGTCAGCCTGGTCAGCCAAAGAGCTGTCAGCTCTGGCAGGGTGACAATAACCAAGTATAAACTTGGTTGAAGGAAAGCTATTCTTCCCTTTCAGATACAGGTATTGAACAGTGGTAGGAAGGCTCTGGAAGGCAGAATCAGGCTCTGAATAAAGTCACTCAAGACCTGGACTGTAAAGAGAGGAATTAAGGGCTCCCAACTATTTACAAGTACAGCTTTTAACCTCTGCCCTTATTACTCCATCGAGACATACTGTAAAACTACAAAACTAAACTATAACACTCCAGCAATAGTTAGTCCAAGCAGTTTCCCAAACTCTTAAGAGTGTTTAAAAGCCAAAGTGAAGCATTCATGCTGTAACTTGCACTGGTTTGATGCAGCCCTTAATGAGCTTTCAGGTTCTGTTTGCTTTTTAACTTTGCTTTTTTTTATTTAAGATCCTGACACTAACTTTTCAGCTCGAACCCAGCTTCAGCAGAATGTCTGACAGCTAGTCTTGCTCCTTTTCTTCCCTGTAGCCTCTAAACTTGGTCATTATTAAGAGCATGACAAAAATACTAAGCTTCAGATTTAGTCTTACTTAGCAGCTTTTATTGTCTTGTGTGTCTTTAACAAATTCCCTGCTAAATGGCTTCAGTATCAGACACTCCCACAGGGTCAGCCACAATGCTCTGACATATTCAGAAGGAAAAAAGCCTTGAAGTTTCTTTTTGACAGTACACTAACTACTGACTGTACATTAACTACTGGATGCCTCTGATTGCTCTGCTTCCCTGTATCGTATCCCAGAAGCTTGGAGGGAAAAAAAATTAGTAGTTTCTCAGAAGAGGTGTACACAGTCAGGTTCTGCTCAATGCACTGCCACTAGGCACATAGTCCCTTCCAATGTGAGAACAAGGACACATGTTATCTGCCATCCTCTACAGAAGGACCAAAGACAATCTTAGACAAACTTGAGGCCCAGCAGGGACAGTGAAGCATGAGAAGCAAACTGTGTAAGCGGTGAACACTGAAAACTACTTCCAGGATGTAAGCACCTCACACACTTTCCCACTGGTATTATAGGTCCTCATTGCTGCACAACATCACAAAAAGAGGAAATGCCACTAACGACAGACTTTTCTGTCAAAAAAAAAAAGCACCTACAGATCCAGGAAAACAGAACCAGCTATGCCATGAGAGGAGCACTTACCTATGAAAAAGAATGGTGGAACAGCAGTGCCTTTTCAGTTCAAAGGACACTGCAAAAGTTCCTTCTGAGAAGACAACTCTAAATTTCATGTTTTCAGCTCAGACCTTTCTGGTCAAACAATGACTATGCAAATGTATCTGTGGGGGTCACACACATCTGGCACACTTTAGAAAGCAGCTACAGAACAAAGCCAACACACTAACTTCTTCTCTTCCATCTTCTACATTGACTTCAAATAGACTTAAACTTGTATTAATTTATTCTCTTTTATGTGGAAACTTTTTGTTACATGTCTAATGAAAGGATTTACCTTCATTGCAACAATATCCACCCTCTCTTTCTGAACATCCTGGGAAACACAGAAACAAAACTAAAAAAACATGCATTAATTCAGGTCTTGCAGACTCAGGAAAAAAATAGACCGAAATCCTTTACTGCTCCATTTTCCCCTCCAGCTTGTTCTCCTATTTAATTACAAAACAGCATTTTTCCCCTCACATATTAACTTACATTACAACAAAGGCAAGTATGCCAGAGAAGTGTCTCAAGACCTTGAGCTGTCTCAGAACAAACAGTTTGAGCCTAAAGTTTTCTTGCCTGTTCCCTCCAAATAGCCTTTGATGCAAGAGCCCAACACCCTAGCACAGCATTTCACATCCCCTGCACAGCAGCAACCCAAGAGAAAGCAGAGCACTGCCAGTTATTCCACACAGCTCAATGCCTGATGGATAAACCCAATAGGATAACCTTCCTAGTCATCTCTGGCATCCCTTTATTTTATATATTGTTCTTCATCTAAGGTCATCTATTTTTAAAGAGATTTCTCCTTTCTCTGTAGAGTAGCTCTCAACAGTGACACATCATACCCTCCCTTCCCTGAAGTTCTTGTAAGCCACTATTTTTAGAGCATGAAACAAGTACCTGTGAAGGCCAGTGTTTCTTTGCTCATCCTTTTCCCTGGTGCCCTTTCTAGAATTGTTTCAGAGATGTGGCTTCTTCAGTTTAAGAAAAAAAAAAATGGCCTTTGCCCTACCAAGTATCTTCTAAACTAAGCAGTGAAAGAAAACAGAGGAGTAAGGAGAAGGGGACACAGAAATGCAATCCATGTATAAAAGGGCACATCTTTCAGCCTTGCAAGAGTTTTTCAGCCAAGCTGACAGCCCACGGGCACCCTAGGATCCTTGCACACACATGCAGTTGCTCCAGAGAAAGATTCACACCCACTCTGACCTCTCTGATGTGCATGCCCAACCGACAAGAGAAATCCTCTCCCAAAACAGTGTTGCCTCAAAACAGCCTGAAGCCCAACATCATCACCAAAATAGTCCAGATGCAGAAGGGTAACAGCAGAAAGGGAAGGAGAAACCTTTTGTTTGAACCCCAGGTCAGCACCCTAACATTGCCAGAATGCCAGAACACAGTCCTGCAAGGGACAGCTACTGTACATTACATGGGGATTTGCAGAAATTCACATTAAAAAAACAATTTAAAGGTCATGAAGGTAAAGGGAAACCTGCAACTCACTCTCACAGTGATTCTATCCCACTTGAACAACTGCACATTGCTCCCAGACACTTCTCAAAAGCAGCAAATGCTAACTCTCACCTCCTTCCTCAACATTTGGCACTGGAATAAAAACGCTAAGATACAGAAGTTAAGAAGCAGAGGTAACAGCCCCCTCAGACAATCCCACCTTTTCTGCCTGGAAAGCTTACAGAGCCATGCATGTGAAAGCACAGCTCAGCTCTTCCACTTTAGGAAACAGGATTGTGCAAGGGCAGCTACTAGAAAATTGTTAGGTAGTTATCTTTCCTGCAAATACCCTTCCCTTAGGCATTTGTGCTACTCCTCTTTCAGGTAGAGCCAGCCTGAATTTTTCCCTGAGATTCTCAGAAAAGCACCCTAATAAATCCCCTCCTAAGCTGTACTGAACCTACTAAC